AAAAAGAAATAGTTTCTGCAGAGGCTGCCTTAATGGAAGACTGGCATAGCAATCAGACTGCTGTTCATATGTGTCTCCTTCCTTTTTATTTCACTTTATCCCACCATCTTTGGATTTGAAAGATGCAATTATCTTTATCTAAATAAATTCCATCATTACTGAAGCTTAGGTGTGGACTTAGCATACAGGTCATGACCAGTTTCTTGTCAGTCCTGCTTGCATGCACAGTACAGGGCCACAGTAAGAAATTGATCAGGCTAACAGGACTTATTTGACATCATAATTCAACAAGAGCCTATAAGCATGCTAACTGGAAGAAACTCATTTACTGTTGACAATAACATCAAAGCTTGTTTTATTTGTTTTTGTCAATACAACACCCTATTTACAATGTTATTTGGTCTTCTTATAAATAATGTACTTTATATATAAGGAAGCAACCTTGAATCATATGCAGAATAACATTACTAAGCACCGTTAAGTAACAGAAAGAAGGAAACCACCAACACATAAATAGCTACTAGATCTACTCACTTTTTTCCACATGTTAGCAAAAGGGGGAATTTTTTATACCAGCAGTTAAAATTTATATTGATACTAACTACTATTGTTGTACAATAATTTATAACCTTAGTCCTGTCAATCTATACTCTCTGGCTGATATTCAGTTGTGTGTTGCATAATCAATTATTTGATTAGCAAGCCATGCTGTGTATGTGACCAGAATGTACAGTGTATGAATACTTTACAATCAATGGATGAATACTTTGGATGAAAGAAAGGGAATGGGAAAAGATTTAACAATACAATTTTTATCTGGGAAAATCACCAAGGTAATATCACTCTTTGTTATTTAATTTATTTCCAAGATAAAAATACCAACTTGTACCTGTATCTGTTATGCAACTTATTGAGAATCATCTAATTTACATAATAAAGAAAAATACACAAGGTCATTAATATATGTAGATGTTTATACCTTGATTCAATATCATGTGTAGGAAAATGGACTACAAAAAAGACGTTTTGAATAGAAAGAACAAATATAGATATATAGGGAGGAACAGAAGATAGAAGTAAGTAGAAAAATAAATATGAGGAAAAATAATAAGGATAATGAAGAAAAGGAACTGAAGAGGAGAAAGATAAATTGCAGTATTAGTAAACATCTATTATTTTCTCAGATACAAGTCTGACTTAATCATGCCTTAAGGTGGGTTCATTATCAAATGCTGAGCTTTCACTACAACTATTTAAACAGTAACAAGATGATCAAGCCTTTTGGACTTAAAAAGTTTAGTTTTTATTGCTGATAATTAAAGAAAGAAAAATTATACATTTTAATGCTTGATCTAACAAGAGCAGGATAAAACATTTCTTCCTTGGAATAAATTTGCTATCAAACTATGGCATTTGTATTTTAGTTTGGTTAGAGTTATACTGAGTTTTCTATCACCTTTGCTGTAATAATAGAGCACAAGTGATGTCTGTTCTTAGGTCTGCTCCTTCATTTCTGTTAGTAAGGGGCCCCTAGTGGCCAAGTGGTCTAAAGCGCTGTCCGTTACAGATCACTGCCATCTCACCTCTCTCTGCGTGAGTTCGAGTCTTAGGATTCAGCGAATGTGGATATGTGAGAAAGCTTGCCAGTAGCTTCTCGTGGGTCGGTGGTTCTTTCTGGTGATATCCCGGTTTCTTCCTCCACCATTAATACTGGCCACCATGAATAGCCTATCATGTGCTGAAAAATGGCATTAAGCCCAACAACAACAACAACATCATTTCTGTTAGATGTGGAAGAGGAGGTATGGTCTTTTGACAAGGCAATAAATGAAGTATATCACCTTTTACACCTGACTTGTGCTCATACAAACCACACAGTCCAAAAAAAACTGGAAAAGATGTCAAAGACTAACTCTCATCTATACCTTCTCATTCTACCTCATCTTTTATGATTGAGAAACTTGCTTAAAGGTTTTGACAGGCCAAAATATTAATCAACATTATCAAGGGTGGGCCATTCCCTCCTCAACATTATGACATTTGGTCTCTTATTCCAGCTTTCTTAGTACATTTCTCAAAGGGGCTCATGAAACCTCCCCATCTTGATGCTGGTATAGCCAAGGCGGGCATTTCAAGTGGAGGCTGGGCATGCATTTCCATTAAAGACATTGGCTTTGTCATCAAAACTTTTTTACATATGCTCTGAAATTGCTTTGGACTCATCAAAGGTACTTCTTGATCACAGTAAAGATATCCTTAGGGCTGTTCCACTTGAAGTCAAGACTCTGTTTGGAGGCCTAATTTCCTCTGTGGCTTCTCAAGGCTTGATGTCTCATGAACATAGATCCTTCACAACAACTCCTCTCCCATTGCAATTGGCCAGGAAGTGTGTTAATGTGAATTGCCATCAAGGGCCTTCTGCTAAGCTCTTCAAGTGGACACAACCTCAGTATAATATGCAACCACAAAAAAGAACCTCCTCCTCATCCATCTGGCTCCCAGAAACCCACATACAGATGTGTTGAACAAACCTAAAATGAAGGAGGCAGCTTCCATAGCCCTCTTCTTTTCCCAGCGGAGTGGGTGTGGGGACTGACCTAGAGAATTAGACCCTCTCCTGCTGCACAGCCCTCTTCCAGGCATTCCTGTTGGTGCTTGCCAAGGCCTCTTTACCAAGGCCTGCTCGAGTCCTTTCTATATTGAATGAGGGGTACCAACTCCAGTTTCAGGAACTACCTCTTATATCCAGGACCCCCATCATTCTTCACCAATCCAATTTGGTAAAATTGATGGAGGTAGTGCACAACCTTTTGCAAAAGGTGGCAGTTGAGAGGGTCCTGAACAACCAGTCACATGCTTTCTATTTCCATATCTTCCTAGTCACCAAAAAATGTGGAAAGTTTTGCATTGTAATCAACCTATCCACCTTAAACCTGATTCTTCTGGATGAACCTTCCAAAATGGAGACCACCTCATCAATCTCCTCAACCATCAAATTGTGCAGTTTCCATTGACCTTTCAGGATGCCTATCTACACCTCCACATTGTTATTCATCGCCAAAATATCTCCAGTTTTGCTAATAACAAAAAAACTTTTTAATTCTAGGTCCTAACTTTTAGAATTTCACACCACATCTTTACAAGAGCTATTAGAATAGTGTCAGGATACCTCCAGTTACTAGGAATTTTAATTCTCCAGTATTCAGATGACTGGCTGATCAACAATATTCAAATCCAGTTCCTTCATCATGATCTATACAGCTGTTTGTCCATGGTAACTCAGTTAGACCTTTTGCATAGCCTTGAGAAATCATAACTCACTCCATCACAAGACTTTGTTTATTTGGGGATAAATTTTCTCACAAATAGGAACTTAGAATTCTATTGGATTGGATAGATTGAATCCTGGCCATGTTAGAGATGCTATGAGCAGTGACTTGTATGTCTGCTTGACTGTACCTGTCCCTTCTGGTAACCTTGAATGCCACTGCTGACTTGGTTATATTAGTATGTCTCCATGTGTGACCGCTTCTGTTTCTTCTTCTCACAAAGTTGAAACCTCATAGATTCTCTATCAAAAGTGATGTTTCCAGGACAAGCATTTTATCACCATTTTCATTGGAGGATGTTTTGGGAAAGATTCATGATTGGAAACCTCGTGCAATCACTCAAACCCCACTCCTGTCTGTTTGCCAATGAGTCAGATTCCAGTTGGGGTACTCATTTAGGATATAATGCTACAGGAACATTGGACCCAGTCTGAGTCATTCTTCCACATAGAAATGAAGGCTGTATACCTACTGTTGCAAGGGTGCATTGAAAAAGTAGGGTGGTTGATGTGTCATGTCTTCTCTGACAACACACCCATCACAGCTTATCTCTGACATCAAGGAGGCACATGTGTCCCTTTATGGTCTAGAAGTCTGGAACCTTCTGCACTGGGCAACCTTAGAGAACATAACACTCAAAAGGTTTTGCATATTCCAGGCAAGAAGAACATTTTGGTAGACAGTCTCTCCAGAACTGGCAGAGGTATCCTGACATAATGGATCTTCATCACTCTGTTACAGGGCTCCTGTTATTGCTGTGAAGAAGGTACCTAGTGGATCTATTTGCAACCAAGCTAAACAACAGACTCCCATTTTTCATTTCTCCTATTCTGGATCAAGGAGCTCAGGCAGTGGATGCATTTAGCCTCCAGAGCAATCAGCTGTTTGCCTTTACCTTTTCACCTTTCTGATTGATTTCTCCATTGCTGCAAAGAGTCAGAACTTTAACTGCTCAGATCATTCTCATAGCCCCTCTGAATCTTCAGCATTCATGGTTCAATGATCTTCTAGATCTGTTGATTACTCAACCCAGGTCTCTTCCTCTCAGTAAGGATCTTCTGTCCCTCCTCTACAACAATCCACAAATTCTTCACCTTCAAGTCTGGCTCATCTCAAGTAATCTCTCTGGCAGAACAACTTTTCAGGATGAGTTGCCAGTTGCATCATTCAGCCCAGGAGAACCTCTGTGTTTAAGGTCTATGATGCCAGTGGAAAATCTTTTGTGATTAATGCAGTAGAAAACATGTTGATCCTAGTATCCCCTCTATAACCCCTGTGGCTAATTTCCTTTTATTTCTCTATCAAGGGCTATAATATGCCATTTCTAACACACTTAAATTCTCTCAAAGTATGGTAATTGGTTTGGATTCACACCTTGCCAATCTTATTAAATATTTTGAGCTTTATGTCTTGCACTCTCTAGATGGAATATTTGTGTTTTATGATCATTAACCAAAACCCTCTATGAATGATTGAGACTTCTTTTCAGGACCTCACTTTCAAAACTATTTCTTCTTGACCTTGCCTCAGCATGCTGTCTTCAGTTTAATGGGAATTATGATTCAGTTGCCATCCTTTGTCAACTGGGACTTTTAGCCAAAAATCAATTGCCTTTCATAGTTCCAATGCCAATAGAAATCTTAAGTGTCCATCAAATCTGTGTTGTGAACAGCTCTGGTGGCCTAGTGGTTAGAGCATCTGCCTCAAATGCGGGAGGTTGTGGGTTTGATCCCCAATCGATTCATACCAAAGACTTACATAAATGGTACTAACAGCTGCCTCACTTTATGCCAAACAAGAAAAAGTGTTGCCAGCTTGACAAAAAAATATTTCACTTCAGGCTATGGGATTTGCAAAGCTCAGTAATAAGCAGATGTGTTTTGCTTCTTGATGCAAATGGTCTTGTAATTTTATAGGTGCAGTATAATAATTGGATTAATAAAAAATATTCCTGTTAATGAGTATCTTCCATTGACTGGAACACACTTATGCATATGGCAATAATGTAACATTCAGTGTGTCATGCAAAGTTATCCATAAGATGTTATGGGCATGCAATATTCAACAAGACTACACACTTATCCTGAAATGTCAAGTAAAGTAATGGCATAAAACTTGTATTGCACCAGTGTTATGAATGCTGATTAGTTATAGTGAAGTCTTTCCTAGTTTCTTTGTTCCTTTTCAGGGAGATCATGTGCTGATGAAGATGATGGATACCATAAGGCTTAGGATTGGGGATGACTGCACGACCTCTGACACTGTGACAGAGAAAGGACAACGTCTTGCCATAGAGGTACACTCCAATGGGAAAGATTAAAAATATTGTGTAAAAATTCTAACCTGTAAGTTTTATAAGTGATTGGTTATGCAGAAAAATTATCTTTTCCACACATTGATTCAAATTTCAGTAATTTTCAGAAGTGGAATTTTTAACAATTTTGAACTATTGTATTAACATTTGAAGGGTTTTTGCTTAGGTAAAAAATTAGTGACATACAATTTTAAATGTGTAACAGGACATGTAATACACATCAAATTAAAACAATTGATAAGAACATGAATCCATGTGAATAATGAACTAAAATCCCCCCACATTTGAATAGGATATTCAACTTTAAAAAAATACTATTCACCTGTAAGTTACCCTCTGAACATTTTTGTTTAAAATTCAGATGTTGTGGTTGGACAGTTTAGTTGGACAAATCATAATATACAGCTGCAAGACTTTTTGTTAAATTCATTTCTTTGTAACACAGTAACTGAAGTCATTTAATGAAATCTCGATTGATGTTGGCTTAGCATCTACAAATTTTACTACTCACTGCCATGATTTTGATGTAGAAAGAGTGAAAATGGTCATGGCAAATTTTACATAACATGTTTTAAATACTTGTGACTAAAGGAACAACACTTTCAATTACTCTGTCAGTCTGGTAATTTTGTTACAAGGAGGGGTATATTAAGCTGTTTGTTTATTCTGATACAGCTCTCCACCATTATAATGGTAGTAATGGGTGTCACAGAATGGAAAAATAGTTGGTTGGATCAGGAACATAAAGACATTGACACACACAAAACTTAAGATGTTTCAATTAGAATGATTATGATGAATAGAAAAGATTACTGCACATTAGTAAATAGTTCTTATTAAAGTTCTTAAGAGCATGCTATATGTTCACTGATACTTCTTGCACTGAGTTATTATTCACTAACTACATACATCCTCCAGTGGTTTCTTCACTATATAGGTACATCCTCCAATGGCTCTTCATTGAGCAGTAGTTCCCTCCAATGACTCATTCATTGTGTAGTTGTGATCTCCAATGGCTTCTCCACTGTGTAGCAAAGTAATAGTACTTCTTGTGACTTGGGCTCCAATCTTGTGATGTTCTTAGGACACACTGGATTTGTCTGCCCTTGTGGCAGGATTTCCTCAACCCAGCCATAACTAAGCAGTTCATGTATCTGAAGTTTCCATGTCCCAATGATCATGAACATCCTGGGTTTGTCTGCCTTTGTGGCAGGATTCCCTGGTTAGCACAATTTCCTTTAACAGTCTCAACCTGGCCATATCTTTCCAGGGTTGGAAGCATTTGTTTTCATGGAAGGAAAATTTTAATGATTTTTCTGGAAATACAAAATGGTACATGTAATATTATTACTAAACAAACTCTCAGATCATTCTCTGCTATTTACTTGCTATCTTAAATGACAAGCCTATTTACAGTTTAAAAACTACCTCAATGCATAATCAAGTTGGCTCAAATAATCTGCACCCTTTTTTCTTTACCTGGAATTGCTTTAATTCTCATTCTGTATGGTTGGAGTACTACTGCTCATCTCATTAATCTAAAATTCACCATTTTTTACTGATTCAAATAAGTGAGTGGCTGTTGGTCTGTTTCCAAGACAATGTTGATTCCAAACAAGTACCTGTGGAATTTGAAAATTCCACATACTACTGCTAGAAGCTTCTTCTCAATGATAGAATACATCCGTTCCCTAGGTAACAGTTTTCTGCTGGCATAGGCTACAGGGAATTTTTCATTTTCATCTTCCTCTATTATCCCTATGAAAACAAATTTATGACTTCATGAACAATCATGAATGTTCATGAACATACTTGAAATGTTCATGATCAGTTCATCATTTGCATTCATGAACAAACTAGTCATGAACGTTCATCACCTAAGTTCATGAACATTTCAAGAAATTTGATGAATCATGTACTTTAGTTCATGAACACAATCATGAACTATTATGAACTATTATTATATCTTTGAAGTTTCTGAAATGTCATGAATTTGCTTCATGAACAATTCAAGTACTTTGATGCACCATTAAGATATTTCTTAAAAATGTATATGAAATTTCTATATCATTATATTCATAAAATGTTTATGAAAATTATTCATACAAACTTCTCACAATTTTAGTGAAATATAAATAAAGGTGAATATTTTTTTTAATTATATGATACTGTATAAATGTTCAGAGATCTTTTATTCAATACTTGTGTACTTAACTTGAATAGTTCTGGATTAATATGGAAAAATATTTTTCTGGCCATCATGAACAAAATTGACTTGCTATAAAAGCTTTCAATGACTTTGTTCTAACGTTTTTGTCCAGTACTGTCATAAACTGCATATTTATTGATTTTGCAACTGGTTGCCAAGTTGCAGTAAAATCCAAAATATATAAGCAACAATTATCCTGACTGGATGACTGCGAAAGAAGACGTGATATGATTGGGTAAAATACGCGTGTGATTTCAGCGGCTGAGCACAAACAAAAAAGCATGAAAAGGGTTTTGCAACAAACAACAATCTCGAACAAAAATCACGGACTCCCATGGAATTAACAGATGAGGATATTTTCGATACCATTTCTTTTAAGTACGTAGAAGTGCAGAGAAAGAATTTCGAAGGAATTGACTTGGTGAGAGCAAAATTATGCAGAAAAGTGTACACAGCGGGATCATCGAAATTACGGTGAGTGTGTATCTTTTTCTTCGTCATTCATTATTTTTAATGGGAATTATATGTATAATTTATTGGTGTTTATGTCATCATATAGTTTTGACCAAACTAATATATCTGGTTTTTTTCAGAATCAATTTAAACTTTCTCTTCGAAGTTTTGAAAATCACGAAACATTATACCCCCACCCCCTTTTTCGATCTCGATACCACATGCTGTACTGCATCGGCGATATGAATTTATATGTTTGTTATCATTTTATGTTTCATGCCATCACTATTTATATGTTCTGATGTAATTTGGTAAATTAAAACAAAAACAAAAAACTAGTTCATGTGTCAAACTGTACATAATACATGCGCTACTAACGCAATCAAACTTGAAGCAGCTATATGCAACATCCAGCGTCAGAGTAGATACATTTTTATAAAAACATTTGACTCCTGTGACATATAATACATATGGCAAGTCAGCTTAAGTTAAAATACAACCTGTGAACAAATTTCTCCATTAATGTAAATGCGAAGTATGTTGTGCATTAAGTGTAAGGGATTAAATAATTTTGAGTTGGATTGGTAAAGTTGGGTACATAAATAATATGCTAAAAGCTGAAGACAATGTTGATCATAGGTTGTCTGTAATTAACTTTATCTTTTTTTCAGATCAGACAGCAGAAAAGGAAAATTATTAGAGGATGAAGTTTATAAGATAAGGAGGAAAATTAGACAACTGGATGATCTTACAGCCAAGATGGAATAGACATTAAAAAGTGACTGCTGCAGCAATGTTAAAGATCCATACAGTAATCAAATGAACAGCTTAAGTTGCAGATGGAGACATTCAGTAGTGACAATAGGTGGAATTTCATTAAATTAAAATTAGGCCCTGACTGTCTTTACAAAAAAGAGTTATCTGACATGTCAGTTTGGGGGTGGGGATCCAGGTCTTCAGAAGAAACAGAATTAGCTCCATGACAATCACAGATAAATATGCTTCAGCAGTTGATTGAACACAACTGTCCCATTGACTCTTGAACAATTTTCAAAGACAAATTACAAAACATACAGAAAGTGTTGCTAAGAATAAAAAGGAATATTGCTTAATGTCATTTTACATGTTCTTTGAAGCATATTAGAAATTTATCTGAAATTAAAGTATTTTAAGATAATATATTGCATTTTATACTCTTTTAAACCCCCAATATCTAAGGTTATTTTATGATTCAGGATGAAATAGGTATTTGTAAGTTTGTCCCATAATCATATTTTTCATGAAGTCATGAAAAATGCGGAACATTGTTCATCATAGTTCATGAACATGTTCATTAACTGTGATGAATGATGATGAACCAGATAGTGAACTTTTATGAACTGTTCATGAATTCAGTTCATGAATAGTTCATGAACATTCAAGAACAGTTTGTAAAGTTATGGTTCATGAACGTTCATGAATTCATTTAATTTCATCATTGACAGCCCCTATGAAATCATCATGAACAATTCATGGACGTGCATGAACCGTTCTTGAACGATTCATGAACCTGTTCATGAACCATCCCTGAAAGTTCATCAAAAGGTTCATGAACCATTCATGAATGTGCATGAACTGAAAATGGTCAATTCTGTCAATGATCATATTAAATGAATTCATGAACGTTCATGAACCATAACAATCCAATTAATACTACTGAACCTATTCGAGTTGAATGGTTTCCTATTCGTTTTCATTGTTATGATGTAGTTATTAGGTTATCCTGAATCCCGTATGAAA